TTAAGCGGATCAAGTATGGCGCGTGCCTTATGGTGAACTGGATGCGTATCCTCTGTTTTGTCAACAGTGCGCACTAGAATTCCAGAACCACTTAGGTGACTATTTCTTTGCTGAGAGCAAGAGTTTTCTCCAGTCACGCTTAATTCTAAAGTTTGTCCCTGCCTCAAATGATTTTTTTCATCGTATCTGACCCAGAGTTGGTTCAGCTATTCAGATTTCATCACCATGCGCTTACTGAGTTTTTTTCGCCTGCTCTCGCTTTACTGCATTTTGGATTGGAGCCAGGGCGAAACGAAAGGCAGTTAAGACTTACAGTAAAATGATGTATCGCTCAGCAACAGCCGGAGCGACAAAACTTGATTCTTGATGATGTGTATGTGAATGGCCAAAAGCTTGGCTGAAAAGCGCGTGTTTCGGCCAACAAGTTAAGCATAGTCAGTTATATGCAGGTCGTGAGCAGGCAGCATTTCTTGGCAAACGTTTGGCTGAGTGTGGTATCAACTTCGACCAACTCGTGATGTCCACAATGACAAGAGCTAAGGAAACAGCTGAGATCATCTTGGAACATTTGCCACCAACTCTGAAGAGGTCTGTTCTATATCAACGTTACCATTTCTGCGTCTTCTTATCCAGTCTTTTTGAGATCGAGTTGTTCTTTGCTTGAAGAGGGGCCTCCATATCCCCCAGTCCCAGCTGTAGATCACTGGAAGCCGCAGCATGCCGTGAGTATCTTTCGATTGTGCATATATGAAGCATGAAATAGGTGTTTTACGTGCTTCCGCTCCGCCTTTTCCTGATGTGTGTTTGAGGAGTTCTTTGCGGAAGGCTTGAGAATCGAGTCCGCATTCCGTCGATATATACATCGTGCATCTCCCTCACAGAAAGAAGATTCTTACGAACTCTACGTCTGCCATGCAAATGTCATTCGCTACTTCATCTGTCGGTATGTCTCTCACAAGTGATACTCTCTCTTTGTTGAAGCTGTTTTAATTTACAGAGCTCTGCAGTTCCCTCCAGAAGGTTGGCTGCGCATGTCCTTAGGAAATTGCAGCATCACATGGCTTGTTATTCGGCCCTCGGGCAGGGTTAGTCTTCGCAGCCTTGGTGATATTGGTCATTTGCCTCCATCTAAAGTGTCGTTTACTTGATTTGGTACACCTCTGACGTGACTGCCATTACGAATTCTGCGTAATCAGGCATTTTAATTTTCATTTTCACAAAGTCGTTCACAGTTTCGTTACTTTACTTTTGCGTTACGAAGTTTCTGTGCCATATGAAATCTGGTCTACATGTTTGTGAATTTATAATTGTGGTCTACCCTTTTGACACGTCACAAATTTGATCGTTTACTGAAGTCCATAGCTATCCTCCATCTCTTTTCAGTTATACGAAATTTGAGAATGATGTGTCACACCATGACGGGTGTATTTATTGCTATTCAACTTTTCTTCGCATAAACTATTTCAAATCATTACTTGTTATCTCAGGTGTTCGTGAATGTGCACGATTCAATTCATTGAATTTTAGTCCCACAGTCGCTTAGTCTAGGAAACGGACGTATGTCAGAACGTAACAGGCCATTCGCGAACATCCCGCACGAGCTGCTTCTAACCTTTGCTCAACGGGATTGGCGGCTGGAAGGCGGGGCTCGAAGGCGGTCGCCTTCCAGCTGCCAATACCATTGATTCAAAAGGTTCATGTTATAGGCGGTGTTGGTTGTTGTATATAGATGTCCGCCGCGAGAGCAAATTTTGTTTCATAGATTTTCTTCGCTCCATTCACTCATCGCTTGCAAGAAAAGTCTTTGGCCTTTTTCGCTGGCTGCCGAGCCCTTTTTTTGCCGCCGTTTTGCAAAGCCGATTGTAGACAAAGAATCAGAATGATTGGATTTCCTGTTTTGTGCTTTGGGATGTTTGCATAGGAGACATTCATTCAGCATAATCAAAACTCGAATGGTAATTCAGAATTGGAAGAACTGAGTGCTAGTTATTTGACAATGCCACTATCGTCAGCGTCTGCTCGCAGATTTATTTTTCATAATCAGCGGCTAATCCGATACTACCCAATAAGCAGTTCTACGACGTACATAGTCGTATCAGCTTGGTTTACCAAATTGGTGCATCGGCTTACGGATATCATTTTCTTGATTTGTACCGGGACAGCTGATTAACAAGTTGACGACAGCGCCATTATAAGAACTCCACCTAACGTTTCTCGCGCGTCTGGACCGTGTATATGTGCGTATGCACGAAAACATTGGATGGGAGTCCTTTGACACTTGCTCTTAATACATGCGAGTTTCCTCCCCAAATGCATGTATATAACAGAGACTTATCAGGAAGTGCACATATCAAGATTTTGCGCATCTTCCAAGAAAGCATAGATACATTGACTATGTCTGGGGAATCTTCCTTCGAGGAAAGCTTTATGATATTGAGTGTTTTTTTTTGCCTGATTGAACCTTGTTTGCTCTCTGAACAGCTGTGCAGAGTTTCTTCCTTCTCGGGAAAACATAAGCAAGCATCGTTGATTCGTTGACCGCACGGACTGCTCAAACGCG